TTGTGGGACACTCTTGTAGGACACTCTTGTGCGACAGTCTTGTAGGACACTCTTGTGGGACACTCTTGTGAGACACTCTTGTGGGACACTCTTGTAGGACACTCTTGTGGGATACTCCTGTAGGACACTCTTAACGGACACTCTTGTGAGACACTCTAGTGGGAGACTGTTGCGGGACACTCTTGTGGGACACTCTTCCAGCTCCCCAGATACTCCGCGTACTAAAGTTGTACTACAAGGTCGCCAGTTCTCACCTTCCACCTCCACAGATTGCTCCACGTACTAAAGTTGTACTACAAAGTCGCCAGTTCTCAGCTTCCAGCTCCACAGATTGCTTCGCGTATTAAAGTTGTACTACCAAGTCACCAGTTCTCATCTTCCAGCTCCCCAGATACTCCGCGTACTAAAGTTGTACTACAAAGTCGCCAGTGCTCGCCTGCATTTCGCGCGCTCGACATGCACGATCTCCGCAGAGGGTTGCGCGGGCACCGGACAAATCGCACTCTCGCCTGCATTTCGCGCACTCGACACGCACGATCTCCGCAGAGGGTTGCGCGTCAAGTCTCCAAAACGAGCGTTTCGCACGAAACTTCTTCAAAAACTCACACGTCAAAGTCTGCAGAACGAGCGTTTCGTACGAGACTTCCTCCAAAAGTCAAGCGGAAACACCCATCGGAGCACACACATCACGCAGCCCTGCCAAGCAGTTTCGCGATTCCAGCCCCTCCAAACAACATCCGCCCACACGCCAATCCCAATGTGACAGCGACATTCACCTCTACCACAACTCACAACCTCACGATTCCCCGCGCCTGCCACGAAATGTCACCTCCGTCACACCTCGCAACCTCACGATTCCCTGCGCCTGCCACGAGAATCGCACTTCCACGCCTCAAAACCGCACAAACTCCTGTGCCTGCCACGAAAAGTGACAATATCAGCTCATGTGAGCTTCAAGAAAATTTGCACCACACCACACGTTTGGAATGATTTCGACCCGTTCTGCGCACACTCCCACCCACCAAAATCGCCATTTCAGCTGAGACTTGTCACGAAAACCGAGCTTCGATGCCACACCCTGAAACGCAATTCCCAATGGCACGGCCACATCCAACACCCCAAAAACACGACTCTCCAAACACTAATCCGATTGGAGCTGCGCAGCAATCTGCGGATCTCACAAAACGCTGCGCCTGTGCAGCGAAATGCATCACGTTTCTTGACATGTCACTGTCATGCAAATCACAATGGAATAGCGGCGCACACTGACGCGTGACACGTCCATGAAAAGTCACTTGCAAAAGCTTCCCCCAATGGCAGCAAATTTGAGACGCGACGACGACGACGACAAACGACGAGAGACGACGACAAACGACGAGAGACGACGACAAACAACGACAGACGACGAGACGACGCACGCCACGGAAACATAGCTCCAACCCCCAGACCCCCAACTATAAACGGGAACCCTTCGCTACGCATTCGGGAAAATGGTTCAGCTCAAGGTATTGGCCAAAACAGGTTTTCTCATCATTAAATGTTGCTTGCAAAAATATGCAAAACTTGTGAAAAGCAATGATGCAAAGCCAAGGTTGGAATTGAGTGGGGTAATATATATTATATACGAAGTTTAGGAATTGGACAAAATTGGCCTAAGAGGTTGGTATTGATTTTATAGAGACATGTTTGGACACTGAAGGGTCGAAATTGATTTTAGAAGAAGGTTCAGCAGAAATGCAAAACAAGTCCATGTGTTAAAAACAACAACACTGATTTTATAGAGGGGTGGTTGGACGATTGAATCTAGAATCCCAACACTGACCGGAAATCGCACAAAGAATGATTGAATGATTCGGAGTACAAATGCTTTCTATAGAATCACCAACTAGAACCTCTACAAAACCTGGTGCATTTTCATGCCTTCTCTATAAAACGGACTGGCTCAACCTATTGGGCATCGGCCAAGCTGACCCAGTAAAGGCCCATCTTTTATATAATGCTAGTTTTTTTTCAGGTAGGTTGAGATTTCATTCTATAGAAAAAGTGTATATAAAATCTGAGGGTCATTTTGTGCTCAAGCTCCCCGATTCTATAGGGTTCATTCGGCGGGGAAATGTATAGTTATAAGATAGCAAAATGTGTAATTTAACATAATTTAACCATACGAATTGTAGAGATTGTAGAGTTTATTGTAACCACTCTATTGTTCGACCCCCTGAACATTGTACATTTTTCAGGGGGTCCAACTTCTGCATCGTTGTATATTATAAGTCGGACCCGCTGCTGAACAAAGTACAATTTCATGGGTCAAATCATAGAGTGATTACAACAAACCATCTCATCTGGGGTGTTGGCTTGGACATGGATTACCTTTCCTTGTGCTCTCTCTCCCTCTCTCTCTCAGAAGCAATCAGTGCAGGCAGTTGTCATCACGAAGCAAACATGAATCATATGCGCCCCTCAGCACCTTCGGTGCGGGTGGATTTCTGGGTTTTCTTTCTACAAAGAACACAACGAATCTTCTTTGTATAATGTACAAGGGAGACAAAGGACAACAACATCTATTTTAAAACCACATATATAGTTATATCATGTCATTTCATAGTAATTAGAAGCTTCCTTGGGAATCGCTTCACTGGGAATCGTTTCACCTGTAGTAACAATAAAGCTTTCTAGTACAGCAACCATACATACAATTACATACATCTGTTCTCTTTCTGTTTCTTTGTCTTGTCTTGTCTTTCTTCCTTTCATTTTGTCTTCCTCCCCCTCTCTCTCTCTGTCTCTGTCTGGATCTCTCTGCGCTTTTTCTTGTCACACCGCTCTTTGGCTATTTGCCCATCGTCCACTACTTCTTGCGAGTCGAGTGAGTGGGCGCCTACAGTTTGTACAACTACGACTTTGCGATACTTTGCGAAAGCTTTCCATCAAGCCGAAAGAACTTCGTGTGCGCAACCCAGCTGCACACAGTCCAAGAAGTGGTGCATTCATCTTGATACGACAGGCCTGTAATGTCGACATGTCTTTTTGTGGACATGATTCCCCACAGCAAAAATACCTTTTGGGCCCAAATAGTCCGCACCGCAACGGTAACAGAACTGTGCGCCACATGGGCATGTCATGTGGTCGCAGCCTTGCTTCTTTTCAATTCCTTGGCGACAGCTGGGACAGCACTGAATGCTTTTCTTCTGCATGTATTGGCAAAGGCCGGCTTGGAGTTTTAGGATTCGAATGCCTTTAATATACACAGGCAGAAATCGAGAGTCCACCTTGATCCACTTCTCATCGATCGGAGTGCCTTGAACGAAGTCTCCCCATTCAGCAATCTCATCGGTGATGTCCTCCCAAGCGCAAGAAGATCGATAGAACACACCGCGTTTAGGTGACCGCAAAGCAGTATTGTCAAGTTGGTATGAATCTGGCCGAGGCTGGAGAACTCGAATGCTTCGAATTCTCGTGGGCAAAAATAGATTGCCGACGGCAACCCATCCAACCGAGTGCAGGTGTCCGCGGACGCAGGAATCCCATTGCGCAAAACGTTTGGCCTTGTCATTCAAATTGGGCGACCAACGATAGCACAGGCCGTTTGAATGGGACTTCAAGGTGCCGTTGTCCACAGTAAAACAAAAGAGTTGCTCTTTGGCAGCCTGCTGACTGTCATACTCAGCACAGGTGAGTTCATCATGCCACTTTGACCGATGATGTGTGCAGGTGCGGCGACTGCACTGTTGGCAGGTCATGAAAATGTTGGGCCCAATGTCCTCCAGCATCTGACCCACCTCACAACCGTGCGCACACCAGCAAAAGCTCGGCTCCTGTGACAAAACCTTCTGTAAAAGCAACTTGTCCAAGTGCTCCGCGTCTTTTTTCGAGCTTTCACGTGCCACATCTGCGAGCGAGAGTGGAGCAGAACAAGTCGGGCACTTGGCCTCTGCTGCCCGTCCCTTCGTCTGGATTTCCATTTGGATCGTCCGTCTCATACAGCGCCGGCACACGTCACGCACATGACGGCAAATCCCGGTGATGCGGCCGGGAAAGGCAGTGACGCCCTTGTCCTCCCTGCACACCAAACACTCCCGAGTGCACCGCCGGCGCTTCGTGTCGGGTCCTTCCATGAGTGCGGACTGAGTTTGGAGCTTGGGCCCAGCTGTCTAAAGAGTCCAACAATCAGCTACCAAAGGTCAAACATGGTCAAAAGCATCTCGCCAAACCCAGGATGCAAGGTCTTACCACAACCTATCACCAATGAATTATTGCATCATGTTGAATCTAGCATGTTGAAGGGCTCTCTCATAAATTCCGTGAGGCACGTATGGTCAGCAAATCTGTAATCATGGCCCTCGCCACATTGAATGCCCCACTCCTAAGCACAAGTCCAGGACAAGTCGTCTGTGAGCAAGCCAGACAGTGTGGTGCACTAAAGAACTGCGTGCGATGAGTCGTCTATGAGAGAAACCCCGTCTGAGCCTATATGAGTGCCAAGTGTCTTGATAGCCCAATATAGGGGTGAAATAGATTGTGTTCCAACCTTAGTGAGATCTGAAAATCGGTGTGCCGGCGCATGCGAAGCTGTCCACGAAACACGCAACACCCAGCTCTGACTCTAACACTCAGCTTTCCGCGGTCACTTTCAGGAGCTCCTGCTCTCGTTGGTTCCGCGCAGTGACCATGATGGCCTCATAGAACCAATGAAGTATTTGTTGGTTGGTTTGTCTGTGTTCACCGGTCACGTGCACGACAACCCTGGTTCGGGCACCTGATGAGATACAAAGAACATCAAAGAACCAAAGCTGACAAGAAAACTGAGCAAAACATGTTCAAAGCAACAGCCTTTGGAAACTCCAATGAGGGCCCATTGTGACCGACCTATCACTGACTAGAGTTCAGCGCTTTAGCGCCCAAGCCAGGCCCAAGCCCTGTTCATTGTGTGCCCTGTCGAGCCATCAGTGGTCCTTTTCCTTCAACTCCAGTGAGTCACTGTTGGGCCCACACCCTTCTCCAAGCCTTCTTGAACTTGTTTGCGCTATTGGTGTTGATGGCCCTCATCACCAAGGTGGAACCCTGACACGCCCCAATAGTGGCCGTGGACTCGCATCTCACAAGAAGGACAGATCTGTGAAAAATAATTGCACCAGGAACGCTCTCAAAGAAAGGCTTATGGCTTGACTCGCGTGTCCTATGTTTGGAGGCACTTTCTAGTCAGCCACATGGAATTGAGCAAGCAAATGGAGGAAGAAAGCAAGATACAAGACCTCCAAGTCTAAAGTGGAGACTTCTCTCACAAGGAAGGTTCAGTAATTGCTTGAAAAGTGGTTGGCCCAATAAGCACTTCTATTTTGACATATGTATATACTGTATATATATAAATATAAAAACATATAAACTAAATACTTACAAAATACAAAGAATATCCATTTATCCATTGACAATGGATTGTGGGGATCCACCGAGTGCACCACAGCCACTGAAAATTGGAGCATCAATGGCACAGGGATGGCTTGACTCGTTTGCCATCTGCCGCAAAAACAACACTCCTGTTTTGGCATGCCTCGATGATTGTCCGCACCAAGGTTTTTGATATGAGGGTCAAGGACCATCGCAGGGAAGCGCAGGTCTTCTCATCCACGTTCCTTGTGGTCACGGGCTTCTTGATGTGCTGGCACAAAGATCACGAAGCTCTGCACCATTCGTTCAGTGTGTGGATACATGCGGGGATGCTCTAGTGACCTTCAACACGTGTCATGAACATGTCATGTGGAAGTGGCATGGAGGCCCGTCTATCATGTCAACGTGGAGATGTCAACGTGGAGATCGGAGGATAAAGATTAGGCCTGAAGGGCCAAAGGATGTGCAAGAATGTGAATTGGCGTCCACTCGCCCACTTCTACTTTTGTTTACTTTTGAGATGAAGATCCGTTTTTGATAGCTGATAGCTTGGTGTCAACCAGGGATTCTGGTTGAACACGCTGGTATGGTGGATTTAAAGTCTAAAGATTGGACATGGTTGCACTGATGTCGACAGGACTCCTGGCATAGATCGCCTGGCTCCAAGCCTGAGATCGGACCCGAGAATCCAATGAGACACCAATGAGAACCCTCCTCTACTGAAATGGAAGCAAATTGATGCTTTGTATATCTTTCTATTTACGCACGAACCCGCACGCCCCCGACACAAGGAATGTGTGGAGGATCTTTTCCTTTCTTTGTGGGTCCAGGAGGTCCATCTGAATCTGACTCTGACCGATTGCAGTTCCCAGGGCTTCAGCTTCGATCTGTGTGGAATGTCAACCCCGTGAAGTTGCTTCTCGGCCTCAACGAATGGCGAGAAGTGCTCGGTGAGAATTCCATAGCCCACGTGCCGAAGGCCCAGCGCAGAAATGTCCTCCACCATGTCACGCGGCCGTTGATAGATCTCCATGCACAACTCCAAGACCTTCCAGGGATTATTCGATCAAAACAAGTTCAGGTGGGCAAACGATGCCTACAAAACTTGGGGGTAAATTGGCAATGGCATTTCTGCGGTAACTTGCCCGCAGAATAGCCAGCAGCAGTGAAAACTTGGCGTTTTGAGACGAGCTGAAATGAATTGAGGTGAAAAGATACTGTAAGATGAGGTGAGCAAAATGAGGAGCTGCGCTGAACCGGAGTGAGTTTGACTATGCAAAGCTGGGGTAGCATTGTGTGGAATTGCCTTTTTGCTGGTTCAGCCTCTGTCCCACATTCAGACCCTCTGAGTATTTTGAAGATGTGTGGCTTATGTTGAAGTGCACAAGGTGACGTGGAGGGACGCGGAACTCCCCAGCTGTGCAAATGAGGCGAGGACACGTTATGAATCCCCGCGCAGCAACCACAACTTAGTAGCAATGGCCCCCAACCTACTTAAAGAATCCCTACCAATTACCTAGGGGGGGCGTCACCTAATTGTAAGTTACAATTTCCTAGGTTTGATACCTCAAAAAATGTAACTTGCAATGACTAAATCACCTGAAAAACTGTAACTTACAATTTTGAGGCCTCAAGGTGGGTCAAACATCCCCCAGGCCTCAAAAATGTAACTTATATTTTTCCAAAATTGTAACTTACACTGGAAAGAAAGAAACATGTAAGTTAACACTGTTCAGGTATGTCTTCCTGCAGTTTACACCACTTTTGTTCACTGTCAAGCTGTTTCTAATTACATTTTCTAGCTATCAAAGGACATCTGAGAGAGCCCTCAAAAGAGCCCTCGAAGGGGCCGAAGGGGCGAACGGGTCCTTCGCGCCGGTTGGTTCCCCGCGGTTCGCCGTGGAGGTGCCATCCCTCACCGTGGTGCACCGATTTCACATTTAGGGGGGCCCTCCACAAGGTCGTGAACAGGTCCGCATTTCTTAAAATTGTCAAAACGGTCAACAGTCCAAAAACGGACCTTAGGCCGATCTCTCGAATCCCTGTGTCTCTAGAGACAGAGCAAAAAAGTAGCTAGTTAAATTGTTTCTTAGTTATTTTCCTGGTCTATATAATTCTGTTCTCTCAAAATCTGTTCTCTCAAAGAATCTATGTAATTTTGCTGAGCCTGTCTAAAATATCACTAAATAATTCAATGCGTCTTTCTGTCTGCTTCCTGTTGTCCTTGAGTGTGAAGGAATGCTATCTTGGACAGAGAATTCTAACACAGGTGCCACACTGCAAGTATTTGATGGGGGGGGTTGAAAATGTAACTACACACGTCGGAGGTAGTAAGTTACATTTCCACCCCCTTTTTAGTCTCAGGAAGTTACATTTATTGACCCCCCCCAAAGTGAGTGGTTTGTGGGGGGGGGGTTGATAAATGTAAGTACAGGCCTCGGACGTCCTAAGTTACATTTTTGAGGCCCCCCCCTCAAATCCATGGGTAAGGGGGTAGGGATTCTTTAAGCTTAAAGATAGGATCGCTTCACCTGGGCTTTGTTGGGCCCGCCCTTTCGGCCTGCCTTGCCCGCGATGAAGTACAACCTAGTGGTGGATTGCTTGAAGTAGTTCTGCCCACTTGGAGTCTGTTCAAAGAAGCGTCGGTAAACGTCCCGGCAAAGCTCTGGCACGCTTTCCTCCGATAGATTCCGGATGAATCGCTCAACAGCTCTTTGCTGTCCTGGCCAGTTTATTGCACAACAAACATAACATGGACCCTTACAGCTACCTCGTAACAAGTGCATCGCTACTAGTAGCAAGGGCATTACCACTAGTAGTAGTAGTAGTAGTAGTAGTAGTAGTAGTAGTAGTAGTAGCGATGCACTTGTTCCTAGTAGCTTCTTGTTGCTAGTAGTAATGCCCTTGCTACTAGTACGGATGCACTTGCCATGGACCCTGAAAGCTACCAAAACAACAAACAAGACAACACCTACTCAATGGTTTCTGCCAAAGGGTTGACTTTGGGATATCCATCATCCTGCCTTTCAACTGACCTATCTGGGCTTTGATCATCCGCTCCAAGTTGTCCCAGAACCAGGTCCAAGCAACCTGCGATCTCTGAAACGATCGGATTTGACTCGCTGCGATCTCTAAGTTCCGCATTTTCCACTGCCATACTGGGAAGTAGTGTGCACTTGGCCACCCGTGGAGCTGGGGTGGGTTTCGCGTCTATCTGATTGCTATGCAAACCTTACAATGAAAACAGCATTGCACCATTCAGCCTTTCACATGCGTACCCACATTGAGGAGTACAGTAATGGTTCCTATAGGTTATAGGTAACAAGCATCCGACCATCCAAGCCTCATGCTCGACGCCCCATACTTTGGGGACCAAAGAGCGCAATGATGCCAGCATGATTGCCTGCAAGAAATGGGGAAGGGGAAACTGAGCTCGACCCAGGCGGTTGGAGGTCACAACATAAGACACGACAATTGTCAGCAACAGTATTCACTGGCCTTGAATTCAGAAAACACGATGGGCTCCTTGCAACGTCACTCTGAAAATGCATGACGCCAAGGGACTCTATCGTTCTCCAGTGTAGGAAGACCGTTCAACATATATAATCAAACTGCAGGAAATCAAAGTAGTGGCACTGCGGCACAAACAAAAAGAGAGAGAGAGAGAGAGAAAGAGAGACCGTCTGTGAAACTGTTTCTCATGGTTGTGGCCAAAAAACGGCGAGTGCTCAGTGGCTCTGGCATCTGACCGGTCCTTGATCTTGATGAGGCGCAAAGCCAGCACATCACACTCCTCTTGGAGGCGATTGACATTTGATGCGTTCCTGACGATGTCACAGAATGCGGTGTAGCAATGCAAGCACTCATGTTTGTGGGTAGGGGGGGTGCATGCCTGGAACAAAAATCAGCCAAGGATCAAAACCATGTTTTCAAACTGGTCGAGGACTTGCATCATCCACTCAATGCCAGTGTGAAAGCCCATAACAGCTGCATTGAACAAGAACATCTCCTCAAGGAGAACTCATGGCGAGAAAACACACAAGAAATGCATAGAACAAACAACTTGGAGTCTGCAAGGCAGCTGCGGCCAAGGAGCATTGAAGTTCTCCGGGACTTTGGTTGCTTGGATCTTCTTGGCCTAGGTAGTACGGTCCCAAGCTCGCTCAAAGGATCTCAGCATCAAGATGCAAGCAAGCACGACCCATTCCAGAAAGAAAGAGTAGAAGGAACTGCCACATTCTCTCTGGCCAAAATACACGTTTGCTGTTTGGATCTGGCAGTCCTGGCCAGCCAATGCACCAGTCGTGCGTGTCACTCAAGGAACATGTGCAAGAACAAAGGTGCAAGAATGCCCCAAGTCCCTTCTTTCTGTTACCCTAGGTCCTCAGGCCCTTATGCCGCTACAAATCAACATGAACTTCAAAAATGACGAAGCATGGCCACCGCATATTTCGCTAGAACAGCAAAGTTCGCCATGAACAGCAAAAAGCCACCTTTGATAATCCGTTTTCCGGAATATTGCGTCTTCGTACTGGCCAGCTCCAAAAGGCGCCTTCGTCGTTGCGAAACTTCTCGAGTTCTTTGTCATCATTGGTGAAATCCTTTTCCTCATCCTGCCCGAGTCCTCAGCATCTGGGTGATCTGGCAGAATTTCTAGCGACCACAGGTGGCATGACCATGTCTACATCCTGCGACCAACATGTAGCTCAAAGATGCTCAACCAGGTGCTTCAAGGTGGCCTCTGACACGTCTGTGATGAGTCCGTTGTACCCACATGTTTTTCCTCTGAAATGCAGCTTGGAATCGAGCATGCATCGCCTGAGTGAGAAGCGCTACAAAGGGCGGGAGCATACAGGAGCCTTTAAGAAGTGATGGGGAATGGAACGGATAGGAGAGGGACGATAAATCATTCAGTGAGGCATTCAAGGCCCTTCTCTTCTCCGAACATGTCTTTAAACGTCAGCTAGCCGTGGCTGCCCTCCAGCACCTATCAAAAGGATTGCCATGCTGAAACACAGGTTACCATTCAACTGCTAGATACTACTAGTACATGCTCAACCAAGCTGCGGCTAGCCAACTGGTGCGTAGGAGTTGAATTCGGTCGGAATATTCTCTTCGCACGTAGATCATGGCACCCGCGCTGTAGTTCAGAATAGCTTGGAATCCAGCCTTCACCTGGCGGGACTCTGGGGTTTCTGCTGCAGGTGGTATGGCTGAAGTCTGTCGACATTGCTTGCTGCGGGCTTTTTAAAGCACTTCACTCGACGGTGAGCCGTGTGTACAGTACAGAATAGTATAGATGTGCTGTTGGTCCAAAAGATTCCAGCCTGTGGGGTCAAAGCAGAGCCCAGCTCCATCTCGAGCAACTCCACAATGGCATCCCGGAAAACAGCGGCTCGAGGACCGGTCACCTGGATGTCCAAATGCTGAAAGCTCAACATCTCTGTGACGACCTCGCAAGGCAGCGAGATGAAGCGAGGCAGGGTTTACGAGTCCAAATGTTTGTTTAGCCGATTTTCCTTGATCTTCCTTTACCACTTCCTTTACCTTCCACATCCTTCCAATTTGGAAGGTCAGTCCTTAAGCTGCGCAGGGTTTCCAAGTTCTGTGATCAGGGAGTTCAAGCCAACGACAAACTTCATGGCCATGATGGACCGCGCAGTCCTTGGTCCCCGATCGTCCAACTCGGCCAACGGAGGCACAAAAGGAAGGCACTGGGCCGATTCAGAAACACGCGTGATGTGGACGCGTGTGAAATCCAGTGTTTCAGCTAGCGGCCTCCACTCCAATATACACAGTACCCGAAATGAGCCTAGTCTCTTGAAGAGGTGTTGCAATTCAGGAGCAGCATCAAAAATGGCCGCATAGATTGCCTCACCGACCGCGTCCCTGGATCCCTGTGAGGTGATAAAGGCTTGCCAACCATTCCTGAGCAGCTTTGACCGGGTCGTGGGGCTAGTGATAGGGCTGAACTGCTTGTGAAGGTCTATTGCTGTTGAGTTTTGCCTGAGAAAGCCAATGGGACAAAACTATGCGAAAAGAATTTATCACAGATTCATAACATGCCAGGTGTCTGAATGTCTTGCACCAGTTGATAGGGCATCCGGAGTTCTCCAAAGACATGATCCTGGACATCCGTGACCAGGGCTTCAATGTCTTCCACCTTGCACCGAGCTGGGCAACTGGCAAGCTGGGCAGCTTGCCAGTTAGCCATGGGAGGGGCCATGGAAGGAGCAACCACTCATGTCATGTTTCAAAGATGTCTGATCTGGCCTCCAGTGGGAAAACAGGGAAGTCTGAGTCAGAGCACGTCTGAACTGTGCATCCTTTTTGGATCAAAAACTCTGAAAAGCCATTATTCGGAGGGTGGTCTCTTTTGCCGTACTTCCAGTTTTCAATGATTGTGGATCATATTGAGGGCAAGCTCAGGAAGCTCACCTGCTTGCTCACTTGCAAACAGCCGGACGAGGCGGACCAGGCCTCAACTCCTCCAGTGCCGCTATCCTCTGGGTTCTCCTTGCGTCCAAACCGGTCCAAGCAAATTCAACTCTCCATGGGCGAGCTTTGTCCGAATGGTGGGACCAAGCGCCAGGGATGAAGCGCCATGACTTTCTGTAGATCAAACACCAGTGCTGGCCACTTAGCCTCTGAGAAAGCTGTTCCGGATGCCAGAAAAGCCAACCGCCAACCAATCCCCGAAAAACTGGCAATTGCATGGAATTACCCTAACCATTGCAACTTACCAAATTTAATCTCTGCATATCTTTGGTGTTGAGTTTTGGCATACTGTATTTAGAAATAAGAATAGATCACACACAGATATAATAGCCAGTCTTGAGAATAAAGACGCTACAAGACCTGCTAATTGAACCGACGATTCCCAATATTTTTGGTGTTCGCATGTGTTGGCATTCTGCATCACATTGGCCCAGTGTAGAGGGGACGTGCCATTGACCCGACGTCGGTTTCGCTCCTCGTCACCTTCGCTAAAATCGCTTCCGTTGTCCGACTCCTCATCCGGCTGATGGGTAAGGAGCGCCAGTACAGCCGCAATGGATCGAACAAGTAAAGGGGAGGTTTGACAAAACTGGTCAACGACCAAGAAAAAATCCTTGCAAGTCTCCATTTGCCTAGATAGAGGCAGGTGCAGAACACATGTCGCGCCCAGTCCGGTCCTGTTCCTCAAGCAAATCAGTCTCATCTTGGGCAGTCAGCTCCGCTAAGAGATTGTTTATCTCATCTGCCTCCATCTCGCCACCTGCCCAAAGGGCGTTCGGAGCCAGGGTGCCCCTGAAACAACGGGCCTCTTTCCCGGGCTCAGATCAGACGAAACCCTAAATACCACATGCGTAAGTGGCATGTACATGCCATGGGTAGAAAAAGTGTATCTCCCCCAGGTGATGGTAGCAGGATGCAAGCGTGTCAAAGAAGGGATCCCCATGTTTCATGGTTTGGGGGAGAAGTAGCCAAACACAAAAGGAAAATATACATTAAACAATTCCGTACTTACTGAAAATACTTTGGGGGGCAGCCAAGGAATCAAAAATAATCGAAAGCTGTGACCAATCGGGATCCAATTTGTCTGACCTTTCCTTCTTGCCTTGCGCTTACAAACATATACAGTAGAAACAACAATCAATAATGCTCGGAACATGAGTTGGATACTTGGGAGTTGATCTAAATTCCTTTATCTGGGATCCGTCATTTTCGCAAAAAAGAATACTTTCGCCAAACTTTCGCTTTCCTGCGTTTTATCTTTCGCCGAAGTACGTTGTATTTATGGGTGCCATGTATGTTGTGTTTTGTTCACGTCAATGGCTTCTTCTTTACTGGAAACTTCACTGTTTGTCAGCATGTGTCTTCTACTTAACTGTTGACACCCTGTACGTCTCTTTTGTTTCTCGTGGGTGTCAGCAAGAATCAAAATTGCAAGAATCACTGTAGTAGCCGGTCACTCAAACATACTCATAATGGGCTGGGGGTCAGATGTGGCAGGGTGAACTTTCGCCAATCTTGAGCTGAACTTTCGCCAAACTTTCGCCTTTTGCGGGGTAGAGTTTTGTCGCAAAGCCACCCCCCAAAGCAGGAGCAGGAATAGTAGTAGTAGTAGTAGTAGTAGTAGTAGTAGTAGTAGTAGTAGTAGTAGTAGTAGTATAGTAATAGTATAGTAGTAGTAGTAGTCGTCGTCGTCGTCGTAGTGGTAGTGGTAGTGGTAGTCGTAGTAGTAGTAGTAGTAGTAGCAGCCGCAGCAGCAGCAGGTTATCTAACTTCCACAGCTCATCTAGCTTCTGAGTCACTAAAAGTGCATATTTAATCTTGCGCCAGATCTTTCGCCAAAAAAATTTACTTTCGCCAACTCGAGAAAAAACTTTCGCCACATGAGATTTTGATATGTTCCGGGTCATCGTCATACACACTGCTGACTAGGACCTTTAGATCGACAACCACTTTTTGTTTTGTTGGGCCCTCTCAAATTCTATTTCCTTACCCATAGAAACAAACATAAAAAGTCCCACCGTGCCTTGATGCATCTGTGCGTTGGTGCATTGAAACGGTTTGCCGAATGTATTTGGTAGATTTGCTAGTTTCTGTCTCCTCTTCTTGGTGTTTTCTGATTTGCCTACCGCAGGGCCAGCCCCAGCTGATCCTGAGTTTCCGCTAAGCGCTACCTACCGTTTGAGAGTGGTATGTGCTAATGTACCTATACAGGCTCCAACGGTATGAAGAATCTCATTGAGTACCTGAGAAGCTGCAAAACGAAAGCCAGCGTTTTTACTTTCGAGTGTGCTTTCTCAGGCCACCCCCCGGAACCCCCCTTCTTACTCAGCTGGCGCAGGTATAGATACCCAGGGTAGCTACAATTCAGTTGCCAGGTATAGTACTTCAAGTTCCCTTTCCGTCAACCGCTCGATAGCCTTTACACACGCACAGCAATCCACAGCTTTGAAGTCTCATTCTTGCATTGAACTTATATAGGTGTGTAAGAGGTATAGCAACATAGCATTTATACGGACCCAGGGTAGCTACACTTCTGTTGCCTGGTATCCCACTTTAATTTCCCTGCCCTGGGTCCGCGCACGCGCGCGCACGCCTTGCTCGGTCCCGGCTGCCCGTCATTTAGGCGTGCGCGCACGGACCCAGGGCAGCTACAAGGCAGTTGCCAGGTATACCCAGGGTAGCTACAATTCAGTTGCCAAGTAAAGCACCGCAAGCAACCGAAGACAATTGCATTTCTTAAAATCACAAAAAAACACCTCCAAAACCTTGCTTCCGTGCACCCCTACACACCACCTACTTTCGAGTGTGCTTTCTCAGGCCACCCCCCCGAACCCCCCTTCTTACTCAGCTGGCGCCTTGCCAGGTATAGATACCCAGGGTAGCTACAATTCAGTTGCCAGGTATAGTACTTCCAGTTCCCTTTCCGTCAACCGCTCGATAACCTTTACACATGCACAGCACACCACAGCTTTGAAGTCTCATTCGTGCTTTGAACTTATATAGGTGTGTAAGAGGTATAGCAACATAGCATTTATACGGACCCAGCATAGCTACACTTCTGTTGCCAGGTATCGCGCGCATGAGACTTCAAAGCTGCGGATTGCTGTGCGTGTGTAAAGGTTATCGAGCGGTTGATGGAAAGGGAACTTGAAGTACTATACCTGGTGACTACCAAGGCTGGCTTTTGTAACAAGGAGCTTATCGTCTCTTTCCCTAAAGGAAAAAGATCGGAGCAACGCGGGAGCTTTTATAGATTCCCGCAAGCCCTGCGCCCTCTGCGGAGTAACCTCATCCACAAGGAAACCAGTATTGGGTTAAACGGACAACCAGTGGCGTAACTACGGAATGCGTTTTCACATGCAGTTCGTTGACTAATTAGGTCCGTTGTGAAACACTTGCTGCCCGTTTATGGGTGCGGACTTCGTGCGAGGATATATAATCCGGTTTTGGGACGGAACCCATCTCACAATGTTGCTCCTAATGCTACATACTTATTTACATCTTATTTACTGCATATATTGCAATTTCCATGGAAACCTGTCCTGGTTGCAAGAAAGAATTTCATTTTATCACAAATAACCAAAACGACAATGGTTCGTACAGCCACACAAACATTCTTGCATCCATTTGCACAACTCATCAGTCGGTCCAGTTGGCCATTCAGGATCCGTATGCTGCCATGTATAACGGAACAATATCTCGGACGTCGTCGTAATCTGTTATTTTTAGCCGCCCTGTTGCGGGAGCTTGACGACGCGCGTCCGCAGCTGCTGGGAAATCCCATGCCGGTATGCCAGCCCGGGGCTTGAGATGAGCTTGACGGGGACAACTTGAATGAGATGCTGTATATGTTGTTTGCAGGCTTCACCTTGCCTCCAGTGTTGTCTGGATTTCTTGCACCTGTTGATGAACCAAGGGGTTAGCTTCTCGTCTAGGAGTCTAGCACGTTCAATCATCTCCTCCTGCAGTTCAATGACCTGCGCGTTGCCTGGCCACATTGCTGTTCGAGCTCGGCTGTCTGAAACTCTATCTTGACCCTGAGCTGAGCTTCCGCGAATCACTATCTTTTCTCTGATGCTTGCGAATAGTATATGCTGTGGTGTCTACACGTGCTCCATGGGGTATGAGGAATTTCAACACTAACCCTTATATAAAACTATATATATATAGAAGCAAAAGTGCAAACCTAGAAGCATTGGTGCCAATACATTTGTGGCCATTCATAGGTTGTTGGACAGCCTTTGCTCAGTTTTTGGATGTTTTTGGGCAAGTTGCTTGGTTTGCTGCCAGGCAGCTTCTAGATTCTAGTTCCCGTTCCCCATAGCTTTTGGTAACAAGTGATCAAAAAAAATCATTGGTGCCTTTGTGTGCCTGTGCTTTTGTATGCTTTTGTTTATTCAGTAAAGTTGCTGGTTTGTTGGGGCCTGTTGGGCTTTTGAACTCTTCAACGTGAACTATACTAGTGGTGCCTGTGCTTACACCTGTGCTTTTGTGCTTCTATGCATGGTGTTTGGAAGGGGAAGGCTGTTGATGAATTTATTCTGAACATGGGCAGGGCTTGGCAAGCATTCTGAAGAAAACACAGGGCAGAACCACCTTTGAAGTCTGGTCACAGAATTTATCAGAGCGGATGCTAGCTAGAGTCGTTGATTTGGCGCTGCTTTGCCATTTGCACAACGCAAACTTGTACCTGGTGATGAACATCCCTGAATTGCACGATCATCAAACATTGTTCACAAATAAACAATCAGGGTGCCAATCACCCGTCCTTACAAGCATGATATTTTTGGCCAACCATGAAATATCCCAACATGCAAAAAACATATTGCCTCACTCCAAACCCACCTCAACCTTTAATTAACACGAGATTGTCTTGTAATAAATCACCTCAAAAAATCAGAGCTCAAGCCCTCCTGCTTCATATCCTCTGTACAAATGGCTGTCTTGCCATTGACATTGACACAGCGGCCGCAAAGCATATTAATAGAGCAAAGTAAATACAGTATGTGAATCATGATGTAAAACAACGCATCAAATTCCTCCAAACAATTTGAAAACCAGACTCGTTTTGTTCTAGGTTGATTATAGTAAAATAGTTGATGTCTTTTTCAATGTCAACGACTGCTAGAGATCTTGGGAATTCTGATCTGAGCCCTTCCCACCTCTGAGCTCCTGCTGGATCTCAAGTAGCACAAGAAAGCAATCACACCAGGAATCAGATCATTTTGCAAAGCCCTTTCACAAATTTTGCGCATATCAACACAAAGCATCATTAGTAATAACACAAAGATCGCCGATTTGCTCCTTGGGCTCAATGTGGCGAGCTTCCCCGTGGCACCCATGTTCTTCTGGGAGCCACCAATCACGCTGTGAGGCCGAGCGTCCAGGCCCGAGAACACTCGTCATGCATCCCGTACAAAGATGACAAAGCCGTGACGTATGGGGCATGTGCATATCCATCCCATATCATATGTCATATCACCATTTGCATCCCAAATCCGCCTACACCATACGCAATACATTCTATGAGTGTTTTATCGAATCACATCAATTGCTGGACCCCGCACCCAAAAATGGTTGGTTGATCTCGCCTACCGTACTCCATCTCCGTAACATGTTCGGGCGTCAATCCCCCATCCCAGGATTGCCCGGCGCGTTCAAACCAATCTCCCGGGACCAACATCTGAGTGTCATGGGTCTTCTTTTTGCCGAAGCAACCCGGTTTGGGTGGACTCACTGAGATGTTCCAACACCAAAACAATAAAACAGTATGAGAGGGTGCAGTGAATGCTGTGTCTGAGTGAGTCTCACCATCCGCCCTTTGTACAGGTCCCTCGCAAGCCGCACTGCTCAAAGTAAGACCTAGCCTGGGATCGGTTCAACACAAGTCCACTGAATTGCTAGTAACAAGGAGCTAGTAGAAACAAGTGCATCGCTACTAGTAACAAGTAACAAGAAGCTATTAGAATTGTTTGAACACTTTGCACTTTTGCACGCCAAACCTTCATGAACATCAACAGGGGCGATGCGAACAGAACCACCTGGCGGCGAGGGGGTACCACAAGGCAGCTGGCCGAGTGCTTCTCCGTTTGTCACGTGCCAAAGTCGCCGGCAGCAAGGCTTGCTTCTGGACCGTGGACCAGCCCAATGCACTGCAGGCCTTGTGAGATCCCAACAGCGCCCGCACAGTCCCCGGGAGGCATAGTCAATTGATAGCTATTGTTCACGCAATATTTCCTAGAACCCTCACAATACATATGCAGTGTATCATTGACAGTATGTATTTATATATGTAAATAGTGTATATTTTTGTTTATTTAAGTGTTATTCAAAACATATAAATAAAAATATGCGATCATGATTCCCGTGACAATCTGCCAGAATCTCCAACAATATCATGGGATCTATGGGGGTCCTGGGGATGATTCATGATAGATTCATGCCGAGCTCGCCCTCATATGAGCCACCATCAAAAATTATTGCCAAATCAAAGGACATCATGCTATCATGTTTTTCTCCGGTTGTGTCTAACCTTTTTTGGTGTGTGCGTGTGTGTCATCGTTTTTCGGCAAGATCCCACATCCATCTTTTTGCTTGTATAACGTAGTGACTCACATGACATGCCCCACAATCTGAGGTGCTGACAAAGGCCGATCCAATAAGTATTCTGCCAGCATTCCGGTGAAAGAATCTAACCTGAGTATACTCCCGTGTGCTCCCCACCACTTAGAGATCGTCCGAATCAAAAGCTGCTGGCTGTCTTGGAGGTCTTCATCATGCCAATGTGTGGGTCCTTGGGTTGCAGCTTCTCCCCCAAGCGATCGCGAGCGCGTCCCGCTTCCCACGCCCGTCCCGTGCTTTTCTCTGAGCTGTGCGCGAGAAGTCCCGTTCCGGCAACTGCCATGCTGAAGGTTGAAAGCAAGCAAATCAAACCTGCAAGGGTCGCATCGATAAAAACCATGACCTTGCAGCCCAAGTTCATAGATACCCAATGGGACCAAACGAGGCCTGATAGTCCATGCCAGGTTGTAATATGTGGCTTTCCCATCGCCTTGCTTTTAGGCCATTGGAGAGTAACGATCACAGCATGTCAGCATGTCAAAGAAAAAACAGTTCCAGTAACTCTCCAAACATCTCCAAACGATTCCGAACAGCCTCCTTGTTGGAATGGATCACATACCAACCTCAAGATCTCAAGATTTCTGCTCAAGTGGGCAGAAGCTGCATCCACTGAGCGCCGGGCCGAAGGCAGCTGCCACGCTGGCAGCACCCATGAGGTAGCCATGGATCTTGGTTGCTCGCAGGCCTAGGCAAAAGGGCACAGTTGGTACACGGAAACCCTTTTTTCCAGCAATTCTCAACGAATCCTATTCTGTCTTCTTTGCCAGGGCTATGCTTTGTAATGCTGTGGAAAGGGAAGAAAGGAAGGTCCCGCGCCACCAATCTTTTTCACCAAGGTTGCGTTGCCCATGAGGACAACATAACCTAGTAACCTCGGCAAATCTTTCACTAAAACGAATGGACACGCGAAAGGGTGGGTCACTCAGCCTTTGGCATGGCGGCTGGATGGTACCAAAACCAAACAGGCCATGATGGTGTCACGGCCTGAGCTGATGTTTGGCTGATGCCAGGGGCCCCGGTGGGACGACGTGACCTCCATGGTGGGACATCGAACCCGATCCACGGTGGGACGCCCTAAGCAACCCACCACCGCTGCGAGCACTGCAAAGATCGCCATCGCAGGGCCCCAGACCTGCAGCCTCGGACAAGCCGAGTCTGCAAGGATCCCAAAACTCAACAAGGATCCTGCACCTGGCCTAGGCCACGGCGACATAGATAACCATCCGTTCCTATCCCAAAGAAAGGAAGCCAAGCCCAGTAGTGCAGAGTGCAAAGAATTTGTGGCAGCGCGCGGGTGTCCTGGCTTCATCGGCCTTCAAAGCGGGCCCCCCAAATCTTGATGGATTTCACAAGATCTGTGCTAAGGTAAAGCATTCCTAGCCGAACACCAGCAGGTGCCCGCAGGTGGAGCCTTGGTCATCACTCCGGCCAAGAACTCCCACAGGTGCTTCGGGGAGATCCAAAATGGCATGTAGGTAGTAGCGGCGAGCAGTGCTACACAATTGCAACGGCAGTGGGATTTGCGTGTCTGTGGCACTTTGAAGTTTGAAGGAACCTCATCTTCAGTTTTCTGATCTTTCTGATGAGCAAAGGCTGTTGCATCATTTTGGTGTAGCAAACACTGAGTAGCCTTCACAGGTTGACCCAAACCGACACCATGTCAAACACGACACACTGCACATTCCCCGAAGGATAAAGTACTTCCTGGACAACGTATTGGTTACCCTTCTGAATGGAACGCAAGTCTTGATACTCAGGTACTTACATTGACCATGAAACTGTCAGTGAAAGGGCTCTTCCACGCTTCCTGAGCAAGTCTGCATCACCAGCGGACTTACATTTTGTCCTTTCTCTGCGGCCGCTCTCAAGGCCTGGAAATGCCATGGCCCAAACACAAGTGTTACAGCAATGCCTAAACAAAGCCATGTGAACAGGTCACTGCCAAAGCCACCATGAAAAATTTGGGGCATCAAATGGCATCAAGCACTTGGGTTTGTGTGAGTCTGTAGAAGCGCCACACAAGAGTCAGACTGACAGGTGCATGATTCAGTGCATGATGTAGAGGAAAAAACATTAACAAACACATTACACAGGAACCACCAAAATCTGATTGCTGGGCGGCTCTGCCACTTCGACAATACAAACACTTTGTGATTCCTAAGGGTGTTGACGTGTTTTCAATGTTTGGAGTCGACGGCTTGATGCCAAAACCTCGGAAAAAGCAGCGGATTCCACCCGCTTCTGGCCTGGGAGCATCTGGCTGAGACCTGGCAAAATCGTTCAAGCCACAGGTGGCAAATCCAACAGCAAAGCCTCACTTCCATGGTCAGATGATGTCAGGTGAAGGAGCACATCCATGACAAGTCTCACAACCTTCTTGCTTCATGACTAGATATGACTAGACGGGGTCCAATGGCTCTTGACTACGCGCACAAGCAGCAAAGTCTCACTGATGTCTCCAGTTGAGCACATTTTCTGGAGCAAAGCAGCCCAGAAAAGCACGTCTCAAGCACATGGAACGAGACGAAGCGAATCTGAAGCCAAACACCAGGTGCCTTCCATTGTCCCTGAATCCTGGCCCATGCTGCCAGTTTCAACTCGAAGCAGCGAATGCCGAGGACCAACTGAGAAAAAAAGACCTTCTCAGCATTTCACCACACCAGCCTCACGGATGAAGCGCAAAGCTTCTTCACCGCGGCCGGCCTCAAAATCATGGGATCTGGCACAAAGCCTTAACTGCATCTGGAAGCATCAGACTGCAACTGGATATCTGGAGTTGAAGCTTGAGATATGCCAGTGACGGACGACAGGATCTAGATTCTAGATATGAGAATTCAACTGCCTACACTGACAAATTGCAACAATTGCAAACCTTTCAGTGAAAGTCTTTTCAAGTTTCAGGTCCACCACATTCCCCCATGCCTCAGACAAAGATACAGCCAACATGCCCAAGCATATTCGATCTGGCCTCGAGGACAGTGCACATCCGCATTAAAACCCGGCACGGAACATGAGCAAACATTGCCAGGTTGGCTTGCAACAGCACCCTAGCCAGGGGTTGGGGCAAACACACTTGGATCCACTGGACATAAGATTGCAGCTGAAGCCCCTCCAATTTCATCTCGCTGATCTGGGCAAAATGGTAAGCGTGCAAACTCTGGCAGGGTGTGGCGCGAGCATCCATGACCCTTCGCAGCTGAGGGGGGGCATGATGTCTCACTATGCAAAGCTTCCAAAAAGTTGCAGGATGATCACCATACACAAGTGGCATCAGGGTGAGTTCTTACTGAAAGGCACCGCTCGCAGCATGGTGGCCCATGAAGTCACACAGGGCCCACACCGGCTTTTCTCGCTGTAAACTGAGGAAACTGCTAGGTGCAGCGCCCATGGCCACTTCGATGCAAACCTGGGACAGTGCACAAAGTCTCTTATCATGTGTAGGCTTGAAACCGTTTCTCTCGTACCTGCAGGCACTGATGGCCGCCCCATAGCTGACCTCAGCCAAAAACCTCCCAACGCCTCCAAGAACTAAGCACATATATGTATATATTACATCTTTTCAGAATCTCTTGGCCAAAAGAACTGCCCCAAACCCACCTTTCTTCCACAAGTGTTTGAACATAAGGCAGGTTTTCTCTTGGGTTTTTGCAACAGGTCAACAGGTATTCCGTTGCAGAATTTTCATTAATGATCGCAGGCAGCAAACAAATAGGGATGTTTCCCTTGCTCACAATTTCTTGGGACCTTGCCACAGTCGGTTGTAGCTGTGCAGCACGAGCCTCTGGCTCGCACACGGAAGTGGAGGTTTTTACTGTAAATCCATTACTGACTGTACAATACTTGTCGCACAAATGATAATGAGTGGAGCTTTATCGGGTGGAAAATGGCTTGCATCGCCCCTAGCCTTCTCCAGAAGGGCCAAGGCAATATCCCAAGCAGTGCCCCGTTCGCAACCTGAGGACTATCAGCAATAGATCCTAAAATTAACAACGGATGGGATGTGTGGAAGGTATACCAACCCCCACCCCGAATTCTTACCCCACCCCTTGAAAAGACTAGTAAGTCCAGGTGGCTTTCGGAAAATTAGGAAATCAAAAAACACATATCACATATATAATATAGAAATACTGGAAAATTTGTCATACACATGAATTATACATATATTTCAATTCTCTTATTTGGGTACACAAAACACGTATATATATATATGTCAATACTTATATGGAAACAGGGCTCATGAATCAGGGCAGCCTTTGTGACCTTCTCAAACTGCAGTTTCGTCAACAGAAATGACAAGAAATGTGTCGGAGAGAAAAACGACAGGAACTGAAAGGAATGAAGAATTGAAAAAGACGTGAAAGACATGCAAAGAATGTTAAGAGCACACGCACACATACAAAAAACAATAATTATCAATAATTAATGACAAGAATCTGACTTGACATTACCAGCTAGCAGGACAGATCTAGAGTACACATTCCTCGACTTGTTGTTTGTCTTCTGAGTCCAGGTTGGCGATCCAAAAACATGCCAAGCTGCATTCGCAACATCTCAGGGTGGGGCTGGTGATCGTTGAGTTGAATGTGATCATGTTCGGAGGGGCCTCAGTGTCTGCTCACGGACAAACAAAGATGGGCTTAGCTGGGCATCGGGCAGCAAACGGCATCTGTGTTATCAGCCTGAGGCAAGGCTTTGGCAGAGTTGAACACCTCCCAACATGCGGAGTGCCTTCGTTAGCCCAGCCTCAGTGCTTGCTGCCATTCGTGGCTGCGCCTGGAGTGTCAAGCACTTGATCACACTAGGCTCTGGCCATGACATTCTGGTCTGGAGATCTAGGACAAATCACCGCATGCGACACTCGCACCATCCTTCATCCTTTTCGAGGGTGTCAAGACTTATTCACTCGACAGCTTGAAAATTATCTCATATGATCAAACTATATATTAGCATTCACTCATTTTGATTGAACACATCCTACAGCCTCAGATCTCTGTAGGTTCATATTGTCTTGTGAAATCACCCAGGGGTGAGTGGACCGTCGACCGTCATGACCGTCATGCTATGTCATGTCCTCTTTGTCATTCCTCTGAGCTGCAGGCCCACAAGCAGCAATCGCCTTGGCTACGATTTTGGGTGCCCCGAACCGTGGTGTTCGACGCCTCTTCTTTTCTCACCGCAAACCTGCAAAGTGTGCCTTACCTCCATTTTGAGTCCGCCCTGGTGATGCACATCTGACCCCAAAACTACCCGGACTGGGAGGCTCCAACCGCATTGAAGCAAATGGTGGTAGGCTCTAACCTAAGTCTGAGAGAATGGGAATCGGGTCTCTGGGTGTCTCTGGCAGTCACGTATGGCCTCCCGACCACGGTTTACACTCGTGTTTGGCGTTCCAGAACGGTTGGGTCCGTGCTTTTTCGCTCCGAAACTGGAGGCGCGTGCAACTGCACTCAAGACCCCCATTGCATTCAGATATTCTTGGTAGGCTGCCACCTCATTGATGAGTTGATCTGTTCATCATAGTTTTTGAATGTTTTTGAGGTTTGCTTGGTCTCGGGTGCCCTGAGCATTTTTGGCCCAGAACCGGCCGAACAAACCTCTGGCCTTTTGAGTTTGCCAGGCCAGTCAGATGGAGAAGCCAGGTTGGAACCAAGCAAAGGACTCAAAGTTTGCATGTCCAAAAGTTGGATTTCTCCAGTGTCACCAACCAACATGGATGTGGATTCTCTTGATTGGACAAACACCAAGTCTGGGCCGTTCATGACCATCTTCCAGAAATCCACTCCCATGTGAGTTAGTGACCATCCCGGTGACCTTCCTGGCTTCACCCGCACACCGCTCAGGTGGCCCCATCCCGACCGCGGCTGGAAGCGACCTGAGACGAGCACAGCGAGTGAAGGCGGTGAAGGCGAAGGGTGTTGGATTTACCGCACGTTGCATTTGAGATCCCCCTTGAATAAGAAGCTGGCTGTGGATGTTCATCGACATCGACATTTTATAGTATCTGAATCAAGGGAGGTCATTTGAACTTAATTATTTCGGCCACTTTTGCATTTCAGCAACAAGTGCCATGCAGGACATGAAGTGCTCTTGTGATTTTCACGTGGCTGCTTTTGGCTGTCCGGATCAGCAAACCGTTTTGGAGATGTTAAAGGATCACTTACAGGAAGTAATCAACCTTAAGATATCTTAAGTAGATTATACTATATAATGTGTATGAATATGTATACACATACACTTTTCAATTGGTTGAAGGCAAATCTGTTAAGGAAATCCACACCCTAAGCCCATACTCTGACTTTTCTCTACTCAACCGCATTTCACATCAAAGCACCCAGCTGAAGAGCATGATCTGACGTCAAAGCGGCTTCTTCCTTCTTGCACTCATCAGACTAACCAATCTCCAGTGCAATCAAGCAGCTGATGGATCTCTTACTCTTTGGTCTCCGTTCTCACCCGTGTCCCCCGAGTCTGGCTTCAGGTGGTACATCCTCAGTCTGAGCCAATCCCGTCACCCAGTTCGAAGAGTTCAACGTCTTTGTGCCCATCATTTGCCAAGGATCCGCCAATCCCGATACACCTCAACGTGCGACAAATCTTAATCTGTCAAATCTCCCCACATGCCCCAGCACGGCCATCAAGTTCACAAAAATATATATATATGTATTATACACACACATATATATATATATAATAACTATATGTATATATATATAAGAATCATGCAAATAGTCCATGGTGTGAACAAAAAGAAACTCCCCCCAAAGGCAAGCTATGCAACCAGATAGCTCCAAATGGTGATGTCTCACATTTGCATCCTTTTTTTGGCGAACCATCCAATCATCAATCCAAACCCAGGGCTCTGCTTCCCCGCCTCACGATCCCCATAGCCTTGCACATCCTTGGTGCAGCCCTGCGAAACAGCTCGACTGTCCATGGGACGTGTGGAACAAAGCACGTCGAAAACATTCGAAAAACAAAACCGCTGCCCTATTCGAGCCTCGACCATATTCGACGCCATCACGTGCTCTGCCATGACGGACGCTGGAAAAGACTCACTCCTCGACAGTCCCATACCTCAGAATCAAAGCCATCGAAGAAAAGGCGTAATGGAGAGGGACAAACCGTACAATTAGGAGCAAGGACACTACTAGGGGCTCCTGGCATCGCTGCTAGCAAGCAAGGACGCTACTATGCACACCCGGTCCAACTCTACCGGGGGAGCACACACACCCAAGACACATTTTTGTGGACTGGGCCACGGCAGCCACTGGGTGTTATGCACAAATAGAATGTAAACTAGCACAGCCATGGGGCTCTTCTTGCTATCCTTTCTTTCTTCGCGTGGCGTCAGAGGCTTCGGCCTGCCACACAGTGTTGGATTTCTTTCTCTCAGGCACGATGCAACTTTTGTAGGCATGGATACATGGAGTGGAAAGAACTTCCTCGCCATGTTCAGGACAAGTGGGCCAACGCCGCGGTGATCTTGCAGGCCAAGAGTCACTGTTGTGCTGATGTTGTCTGCAAGCTCACGCCTAAGAGGGCAGGAAGACTCCAGGATAAGAGCCTGAAGACCCATGCATACAACAGAGTGTAACACCATGGGCTAGCTGATGCCATCATTGTCATGCATTAGTGGTGATGCAAGAGCGTAATTCAAGGAAATCTAGGCCAACTAAATGCAGCGCCGTGGCAGTGTGTCCTCCAACTTCGATTTGGTGTCCGAGTGGTGGACTCGCATCCTGCCGTAGAAAAGCGCCGTTCCAGTCAATTCCAGTAATCATTCCAGTGGTGTTGAGCGACCCACAAACACCCAGCTGCACACACAAAATCATACAAACACCATCTAGAAATCCCGTCCTGGTGCTGGTGGTGCTGCTTGCTGCTTGGGAGTGAGATGCTTGCTGCGCAAGCGGTGGCGTCTGCGCTGGCTTGGCCTGTGTTGGCTGTGGCTTCGGCTCATGTGGACGAACTTGCGAAGGCACCGCAAAGTCTGGCAACCTGGGACCATTCGTGGCACGTGCGAGCTTCATGACGTTCCACACTATCCACACTAATGACATCTAAGAACCAACCGTGGACATGGTGACACCAATCAATCGTCTCATGTTGGCATCAATTGTGGGACCAGCAGCAGGTCCAGATCCGAATGCCCTGCAAATGCACCAAAGCTTGGCCTCGGCTCCAATGGATTGTCGGTACTCTTCGGTCGAGCGCCGGTCAATCCGGATGGATGACCAAAAGCCCACTGAGATGAAATGCCGCGATACCGTATGCAGCGACTGGGTGCAAATGCAAGAGCGCCAAACTGGAGAGGGGTCGAGATAAATTGAACAAAATGTAATATACATATTATATATATATATATTTAATAATAATGGCATACATTGTCATACTCCTTTCGGGGGAAGACAATTTACTCCCCAAAAGGAGTATGCCAATGTATGCCATCTATCCATATGTATCCATTAAATCAATACGACAAGTGATCATGGCACATGCAGGTCTGTGTGTCGAACTTCGTTCAATCATACAATCCTGCCCCACCCGACCAACAATCTGAGCTTTGCGGCGTGTTCGCTACAGCCTGCGAACCGTCGGCCTGAGACTTTTCAGAAGGATCCCAAGCCAATCTCTATGGCTGGTGTGCGCACAGTGAATGTCTCAAGTAGCACTGAAAGCATATGTCGGAGATGCTTGCTGCGGAACATGGTACCAAATGTGCCAAATAACCAGCCCAACTCAAACCCCATGGAACATCATTGCATTTTACCTTGGAAAGACGGATGTCTCATGTGATCCCCCAAGGTCGGTCCAACCTTGGTTGGATCGAAGGGATCTGGTCGGAAGCCGTTGGCACCTGCAACAGGTTGTGGACTTAGTAGCGTCTTGTTTCTAATAGCTTCTTGCTCCTAGTAGTAAGGCCAGGAGCCCCTAGTAGCGTCCTCTACC